TGGGCTGCACCATTACAATTTAATATAAAAACACCACAGGCATGATTTATGGTGGATCTCCTCGGTCCAGGTTTTGAAGAGCATCGTTTAAGGGGTGCAGACAGAAGCCCTGTGTTTGAGCTGAATATGGCCATCGCCTGCAGATTATATTTATTATATTGGAGGCTCTCATTAATCTTTCAGTTTCCTGCTCTTGTGAGGTAGGATTCACAGAATGGGGGAATGGGATGGAAAGCTCAGTGTTTAAAACCACTGGAGGACCAAACATTTTAGGCAGTGTCAAGAGCATTGCATAACAGTAGCGTTATAATACAAGTTGTGTGGTATGAATATCATAAAATGCTTATTTGCATGTCGGTTATAAATGTGTAAGCATTCGAACAGGAACCTTGTTGTGATTTTACAGTACTGCAAAGAAATGGGATCAAATTCCACCCGAGAAGTGTAACTGAATTCAAGATTTGGTTAAAATGATAATATATACAGTAGTCGTTCAATAGTTTTAGGACAACTTTGATAAAGTGTTGATCCACTTTAAATGTATTACTGTACAGTTGAAGTCAGAATTATTAGCACCCCCACCTGTTTTCACCAATTTCTGTTTAATGGAGAGAAATTTTCTTACATTTCTAAACAGTATAAATATTCTAAATAGTTTTAATAGCTCATTTCTAATCTCTGGTTTATTTTATCTTTGCCATGATGACAGTAAATAATATTTGACTAGATATTTTTCAAGAAACTTCTATACAGCTTACAGTGACATTTAAATGCTTAACTAGGTTAATTAGGTTAACTATATAAGTTAGAGTAATTTAGACAAGTTAAAGTTATTGTATAACAGTTGTTTGTTCTTGAAAATAAAATATTGCTTAAAGGGGTCAATAATTTTTACCTTAAAATGGCTTTAAAAAAAATTAACTGCTTTTATTCTAGCCAAAATAAAACAAATAATAAAAAAAATACTTTTTTCTAGAAGAAAAAAAGGTTATCAGACATACTGTGAAAATGTTCTTTCTCTGTTAAGCATCATTTGAGAAATATATAAAAAAAAAATAGGCAGTACATTTTTTTTTTTTTTTGTAGTTTAAAGTCTGGTGTTTGAGAAAATATACAGGGGCACTAACTTCATCAATGGGCTTTAGCCACAGCAAGGGTTTTTAGAACATTTTTTGCTCTTTCTGCTGAGAATTTGGTATAAAATCTGCAGATTTATGCAGAATGATTTTAGAAGTATCATAACTAAAAACTTAATTTTCAATTCAATTCACCTTTATTTGTATAGCGCTTTTACAATGTAGATTGTGTCAAAGCAGCTTCACATAAAAGATCATAGTAAATTAAAACAGTGTAGTTCAGTATTTAGTGTTGAAGTTCAGTTCAGCTCAGTTGTGTGGTTTATTAATCACTATTGAGGTCCTAAACACTGAACAGCTAATCCATAGATGTGTAGCTCTACCGATCCCAAAGCATGCAAGCTAGTGGCGACAGCGGAAAAAAACTTCACCAATTGGCGAGAGTGAATATACAGTGGAAGTCAGAATTATTAGAGCAAGGGAATTTTCACTGCATGTCTGAACATATTTTTTTCTTCTGTAGAAAATCTTATTTGTTTTATTTTAGCAAGAATAAAATAAATTTTAAAATTTTTTTAAACCATTTTAAGGACAAAATATTAGCCCCTTTTAGCCAATAGTTTTTTTTTTTTTTTTTTTGACTGTCTACAGAACAAACTATCGTTATGCAATAACTTGCCTAATTACCATAACCTGCCTAGTTAACCTAATTAACCTAGTTAAGTCTTTAAATGTCACTTTAAGCTGTATAGAAGTGTCTTGAAAAATATCTAGTAAAATATTATGTACTGTCATCATGGCAAAGATAAAATAAATCAGTTATTAGAGATGACTTAAACTATTATGAAATAAAATATTATTAAAAATATGTTGAAAAAACTCTTATCTTTGTTCAACAGAAATTGGGGACAAAATAAACAGGGGCGCTATTAATTCTGACTTAAACTCTATGAAATAAAATACATTTTTAACTTTTATGTAATTTTTACAATGCAAATCTAATTAGATCCACTTATTTGGTAAACAAAGCAAGTCTCTCATGTACTGTCTACTAAAAGATAACATATTACTTTACAAACTGTATTATAAATTAATCATATGAACATTCAAATTTTATTAACAATATATCACAACAATATTAATGAAATTAATTTAAAAACTGAATAAATATAAATTTACACACATTTACACAAGAAAATCTGCAGTGTGCAGATTCTGTGTGGGCCTATAGCGCGTGTCTTTGGACTGTGAGGGAAACCGGAGCACTTGAAGGAAACCCAACCGAACTTGGGGAGAACATGCAAACTCCACATAGAAATGCCAACTGACCCAGCCAGACCTTGAACCAGTGACCTTCTCGGTGTGAGGCGACAGTGCTAACCACTTAGCCACCATGTCAGCTCTTTTACAGAATGTATAGGGCAATTGATTTAAAATCAGTTAAATAGACATAAGCATTTATTTAGTTGTTCAAGTGTAAAATAAGTTGACCGGCTGTTTAAATGCAAGCTCCATCAGGAGCAGCAGGCAAACGCTGGAACTCCATTTGAAAATACTGGGGCAAAATAAATGTGCACATTTTAAAGTCATTGCATGGAAGTTAATTTAGTGCCATTTGTCCGGTCTGAGACCCCATTTATATGTTATATATAAATAAGGCAGTGAAGATCATTGATTTTTATAGAAAAGTCTATATGTTCTTTTAATGGCATTTACATTTTTATTGAACTGCACCTTAAATATGTCCTATAATGTGACTGCAAAACTTGAAGAAAAAATACTTTTAATAATATAAAAAGGAGTGTTTTGATCTTCATTGTTGGACACTTATTTATATACATTAGTGTTATTTATTTTATATAAAAAAAATTTTACACCATTTTTATAGTAGTTTCAAAAAAGCTAAATGTGAAAAATTCCTAGACAAAGAATTTACAGGTGCACATGGTGCGCTTCACAGGGGGCTTCAATTACAAGATATTGAAAAGGGTCCTTTAACTAATTAAAGTTTTCAGTGGAAATGCCCAATTTAATATGAGCTTATAGTGTCACATCAGAGGACATGATTTCAGAGACCAAATGTATCAAGTCCACAGGTGCTTCCTGTGTAGAAATATATGGATAAAAAAATGTGTCATTTATATTTCTTTAGGTATTTATTCATGATTTTACAATTCTTCTTTTTAAATTAACAAGAGTTGTATTCATGTTTAAGAAAGTCACTTCATGGGACAGTTTTGAGATTTGGCGATGAATTTGCAAAACTGATACATTGGCTGACCTATATTGTGTATAGTTTTCTATTTTTTTTTAAAGATATTTTGATTAATATAAACCTCATAAAGAACACTTATTTAATTTCTAAGTATTAGTATTATTTTTTTAACAGTTTGATGCATGATTTGAAAATATTTTTATAAGTATTATAATAAGTATTTATTTTATTTTTATTATGATGATGATGATGATGATGATGATGATGATGATAAGTGTTACTTTAGAAAGTAATTACTCCCCAAAAAAGTAACTAGTTGCGTTAGTTACTTTTTATGTTAAGTAATGTGTTACATTACTTTTGTGTTACTTTTTTCTGACCTGCACTCTAAAAAATTATGTGTTGGCTTTAATAACATTTTTATGTCAACAGGATCCACATAACTGAGTTAAGTTACCTTAAAAAAAGAATAAGGTAACATAGCAATTTCATAACAATACTATAACGCTAACGTTATACACAATATGGTAAGGGAGTACTGTACGTTACATTAATGAATCAAATGTTGTCACAACCTCAATATAAATGCATAAATAGTGAAAAATCTCACCTCTGAGTCTACATTGGGGAAACTTTCTGTGCACCTACTCAATTTGTGCTGTAATCTTCATCGTTTGATTCCCATATAATGAGAGTGATTGTTGTGGTTTGAAGCTTCCTTCTCGAGTTGTTTTGAAACTGCACATGGAGAGAGTACTCCACCTATTGATCACTGTGGTACTGCAGAAGCAACACAACTCCTTTTCATTCATTTTAATTTAACCAGCTGTTTAAATTTGAAAACTTACTTTTTATATTTTTTTTCCAACACAACTCTTGTGGTTTTAAAAACAGACATAAGTGAATTGTTTAATTTAAACATTGTGACATTCTTTGGACCAACTAAAGCCAAAATCCATTTTTTGAGTGTGGCTAAAGCTTGATCGCTTTCAGAACTTGCAGGGTCTTTTTTTTTTTCTTCTTTTCTATATAGAGGAGATCTGCAATTTACAAAACAATCTATAACCTTAATTCACCTTAAAAAAACGCATTCAAAAATGTATGTTGGGCAATGTCATCTTTGGAAGAAATTCCTGACCCCAGAGCTTTACATACCTACAGATTAATGAAAGTTTAAAGCAATGCGTTTGCTAATTTTAAAATTTTAAAATTTTAAAATTTTTTAATTTTGCTAATTTTGTTAATTTTGTTTAATTAACCACTGTCCATTCAGATAATCCTCTGTTCCTTTTCTTCCATGTGTTTAGGTTAAGGAAAATATTTCCATTGCAGAAATGTAAGGCTCTGCCATCTTCCTTTCTGTCTGTTCATGCATTCTCTCATTGCGTGCGGAATTCAGCGTGACTATGATCATTTTAATTTAGCAATTTCTTTTCAAAACTGAATTAACTAAACTAAAAAGTATCCCCTATTACATTTTTTAAAAGTAACTCCGATATTATTACTTGATTTTAAGAAGTATTGCATTACTTGTTACTTAGAAAAATAATATTACGTGTAACTTGTAGTGCATCACCCCAACACTGATTAATATTACTAAATAGTTGCTTGCAATGTCTTCCAAGCGCATTTAACACTTAATATCTGTAAACACACATTAAGGTGCGCTGATGTGTTCGCTCTCTTTTTGTGTGTGTTTGCTCCTGCAGGAAGGCAGGACTGATCCTGTCTCAGCTGGATGAGCTCAGCGGTTGGTGTCGGGGGCTCCTCCAGGAACCAAAGATTGGCCTGCGCAGAGCATCCCTCAAGTATCTGTCTTGTCGATACACAGATACCAAAGCGTTCGGGCTCAGCTGGGTGAACCTCGGCCAAGACTTGCGTAAGGCCTGCGAGGAGCAGATGCTGTCCGTGATGTACAACGATTATGGAGAACCCAAGGAACTTTAAAGGACTTGGACAACCAGAGGACTAGTCAGGGGTCCAACTGTAAATATGACTTCTCTGCTCCATCGCTTTTAACATTAATTGGTCGTTTATCGAGGAAGAGGGAAATATTTAGTCAGAACGTGATACAGTTCGTTCTGATTTTAAGAAGCGTTCAAGAGATACGACTTCAGGCCTGCGTATTCAAAATATGTACAGTGTACAGTCAAAAGGAAGTTACATTTAAAGTGTCATTTAGAACTAGTGGTGTATTTTGTCAAACGGTGCATACACCAGCTTGTATAGGTAGAACTTTTTTCACAAGAACTAAAAGTGTATCTTCTTAATGTGCTGAAAAAAAAAACGTCTGTCTCTGTAGTGCATATAGATATGGAAAGAGCTATAGCAAATGTAAATGTGAATTCATTATTAAATACATTACTGATGTGCTGAATGTAGTAACTAAGGTATAAGAGGTGGAGGAAACTGTACATGAGGTTTTTTAAAGTATAAGCAGTATTATGAAAATAAGCATTTTAAAGTTGTACAATAACATGATGTCTTGTTTATGGTTTATTTCCTATTCCAAATAAAATTGCCCAAAAGAAAGCAATGGTTACTTAGAGTTATTTAGATCAAGTTTCAACAATGAATGGGATGCGGATCTTCTCAATTGCAGTATTTTTAATAAGTTATTTTATATTACTTTTTGAAAATGAGTGGGGTGGAGCTTGAGGATTGATCAATTGTTGATTGGATTGCGGAAGGCAGATCTGAATGTGAGCTTGCAGTCATTTGCAAGAAAGGGGTGTGGGTTATCAAAGACTCTAGAATACACAAGACACGGCACTTGTACAGTTTTGAATGGGGAAAAGTGTAATGATCAATATGGCAAATAAAGCCCCGCCTACTAGTAGAGGAGCCAATCATTGATCGCTATAGACTGACGTTTCTCCAGGGGAGAAGCTCAGACCAGGGGCCTCATGTATCAACGCTGCGTACGCACAAAAACTTTGCGTACGCCAGGTTTCACGCTCAGAATCGCTCATGTTTGGATTTACTAACAATGAACTGAACGTGGGAATATGCGCAGCTCCACGCCAGCTTCTTGGCTGGCGTACGCACATTTTTTGTGCGTGTCTGTTTTATTTCCATTGGCGACTTCTAGAGGCAGTTGTGTTAAATTGCTCTCTACAAGTGAGCCTTGCAATGGCAGCTGTATGAGACAGGTTCATCTAGCAGGTATATAAGGTTTCCATACCATACTGTTGACTAGCCAAACATTAAAGCGCAATTTGCAGCGGTCACCTGTTTTCCCAATGTAATCTGAGCGATCTACCGCACGCACATTGCTATAAAGACACTATCTGAAGATGAATTTGCATGCGTGAATCAGAAACATTTCCATTCAATAAATGTGCAAATAAAATATGATACACATCAAAATATGATGACTTATTAATGATTCCAACTTGTCTTTCTCGTGATAAATAGTTGACAAAATCTGATATGTAGCGGGGAAAAAAAGAATGACTTCACAGACGCTGGATTCGAACCGAGTTCATGCTCGAACGTGTCAAAACATGTTGACATGCGTTTTTCGAGCTGCGCCACTGAGACTGTTAAGGGTACCACAAAATGTTACACCTATAAATCACACTATTTCTTTATAATTCACTCAGTGCGATGTTCAGACCCAACTGTGTTAACCACATCAGCTAAACTCAACACTCTATTTTTTTCTTTTGTTGTTAATTCTTTTGTTGTTAATTTGGACAAATTTGCAAATAACACCGCTTTTCTCCGGTCTACCTCCGAAAGCAGCACTTCCAATTCACATTCTGTTCAAAGTTTCTCTTTTTGCTTGCTTTTGCCTTTGCTTTTTCATTGGGTTTTGCCAAAGTAGAGTCATTTGCATATTCATACGGGGGAGGAGGCAGGGAGGGGTTTTGTGCTCGTGCATGTTGTGTTCAGTTTCACGTTCATTCGGATGTACAAAAGAATATACGTGAGATTCGGCATTTACAGCTTTGTGCGTACGCAATGTTTTAGTATGATTTCCACGCAAGTCTTAGTACATGAGGCCCCTGGTGTGTGCTTTTACAACAGTTTTTTTAGTCAAAAAACACACTGGAATCTCAGTGAATACTTGCTTCGCAGACATAAGAAATATATCCAGATAAAACTTATTTGGAAGCCACTACTCAAACACCCACAAACTTGTAAACTAAGAGTCACTGTCATTTCTGGAGGAGATTCGCCATTAAGACCAAGTTGTGGATTACTTCAGAAGACCAGCACAATCAGGCGAAGCATTGTCCAGAGGATGATAATGTGTAAAACGACAATAAATGAGGTTGGTGTCGGGATTTTGTTCCTTTTGAGTGCACATTAAGCTCGGGCAACCTGAAAATATCCTGATTTTATTCGATTTGGATATTTACAAATAAAAACTTGTAAGACAGTTGATTCCAAATATGTAATGTAATAGTATTTTGGCAAATAAGTTTGGAGAATTTATTGTTTCCCCTTTCAGACAGAATGCCTGAGCACACTGCCCGAGAGGCATTTTAAAAATGGCCGCCTAATGAAATGACTTGCACAAAAGAGACTTTGGGCTTAAGCTGCCAAGAGAAGTCTCGAATTTCCTCAAAAGATTGCAGGTATGTATACATGACAAAAATATACAAGCTAAAACTGATTTTCTTTTTGAGAGAGACAATTTAACAATAGATAGCAATAGAATAGCAGCTTTTTCTACAAACATCTATAGAAAATAAAACACATCTGAAGCATAATATACACATATTTAATTATTTTTTATATTATTTCTGTTTCTTTATATTGTTGCCACTTAATTTATGAGATTATTTTTTGATATTAATATTTATAAGCAGAAGTCATCATAATTGGGTAAATGCATCATGATAAAAAATAAAAGATAATAAAAATGCTGTTTCTAAGATTTAACAAGCAAGGAAAACGTAAGAGATTCATTTGTTTGTTGGAAAAGAGAAATGTGTACTCTAACATCATTCACTATTATTTGTCAAGTATTTGAAAATACGCTTTCCACACAGATTGAAGCTTTGTCCATTTGAAAGACACTTGTCAGATTGGGAAAGTGTGTGTGTGTGTGGGGGGGGGGGGGGGGGGGGGGGGGGGGTCAAAAAGGTTAGATTAGAAATAATATTAACAATAATTGTATAATCAAAGAATAATTACAATCGTAATTTTTAATATTATTTAGAGAGAAATTATATAAAAATATAAACATTTTATTATTATGGTTTTTTTTACAAAACTAATGTTACAAAAACTTTAAAGTTTCACTGTAAATTGCTAAAAGTCTTAACAAATAATATAATCAAAGCCAAAAGTTCCAAGTTATCTAAATTTTACCACCAAATGAGGTCACTGTGACCAAAATGAACATATTTATCACTAAACTTTTCACTGTATTTATGAATCAAAAATATTTACAAGTGTATGACAAATTCACCCTCTGATAAACTCAAAAGTCCTCTGTTGAGAGAGCTTAGAATGACCAAGAGGCAGCACTCTAGTGTAATTTGGGAAACAGCCACTAGAGGACGCGGCGGCCATTTTGGAATGAAATCTCCAATAGAACAACAGCATATTAAAAGTCTTTAAAGTAAACTATTAAAAGTGCTGATGATTGTGATAGTAAGTTTTGTATTGTCATCTTTCAGGTTGTATCTCCGTTTTAATCCACTTTTTAAATAAATAAATAAAAAACAAACCAGCTGCTTGCCATCGCGACAGTAATGAGATCCAATGGACGGCCGATCACTTTCACTCCAAAATGGCGGAATCCGGGGCTGTTGCAATGGAACGTTCTATTGAGTGTCGCCTCTTGGTCATTCTAAGCTCTTTGGTTGAGATCAGCATCACAAACTAACAATCTGTTGATTTTTCTTTATATTTAAAATACATGGTCATTTTTAAAAAAATCTACAATAGATGTTATCTTTTGAACTTGTCATGAGAATGAATTGATTTCTACCAAGTTTTCATTTTATAACTGCAAACTAAAAGTCTGAACTTGCATTTTGGTAACTAACATATTGTATTCTATTCATTATTTTCATAAATACTGTTCCTCATTAATATCAATCAAAAACCAGCACTGATCAATTATTAAGACTTTAAAAGCTTTCAAACGTTATACAGTTTGTCATGACTGCTTTATGTTTAGACAATGATATTACAGTTAAAAATGTGATGTGTGACATTTATGAACTCCACACAGTAATACCGAGCCTGGACTCGACCCAGTGACATTCTTGCTGTTAGGCGACAGTGCTAACCACTAACCCCCACCCATACTGACCACAATTTAGAACAATATATAAACTTGTGTGAGGAAAAAGAAAATCCTGCAGCCTTGTGTCTTTACCACCGTGTACTTATACTTTATTGATATGACAGTGAAACTACAATTGAACAGACAGAACAGCATACAAAAATAGTGTCATATATTTCCATTACAACTGCTATAAAGGAACTGTCATTTCCCAAAGCGCACATGCGTTTCACAGGGTTTGCATGTACATACAGAGGGAATAAAATAAAACAAAGATCCAGAATTCTGCTTGAAATGACAGTCTGAAATAAGCATGTTTATATTAACGACATACAATATGAAGAATGTGCCTCACAACAAGCAAAAACTATTTGTATAAAATAGTTATAAAAAAAAAAATCAATGGTGTAGCTACGCAAACGGGCTAAAATATGGTCGAAACTACATCTACATCTATGTTAGAGCTTCTGAAAAATATATTAGGTGTTACTTTATAGATTAGCGTTGGAGAGGATTGTATTGATGCAGTTTAATGGTTGTAATGATGGCCTTTGATCAGCCTGGCTCTCTCTCTCTCTGTGCCTCACGGAGCTCCCGGCTGCTGCTTCTCCTTTGGCTTGTTCTCGCCAGCCTCAGGGTCACGGCAGGTGCATTCATCCTGATCGCAGTCCACCCCGAACTGAATGACCTGTCAATCAATCGGACACACTTTTTTTAATTTACAAACGCCGTCCAAAACACATCGGGCCACAAACATCTGATCCGGTATGCGGGACACACACAGTCTTTGAACGAGAGATCAAAGTAGTCGCCTTGAAAAAACACTTTGAGGCATCGCCGTAGATCAAAACAATGAGCATTACCTGTTTCCAGATGTATGATCAATATCAAGCGTTGAGCAAATTACTCACAATAACCAATCAAATATTAGCCTGTTGACGAAATGTTCGCGAGGAAAGGCTAGCTTGGGTGTTTATTTTCATGGCAGGAAGGAGGATTTGTTTAATGCTAAAAGGACTGCTATCAGGACAGGACGGTCGCGTTCGGTGAAAGAGAGAGAGATGGAAAGAAAGAAACGGCCGACTGTGAGCAGATGAGTAAAGGAGGTGAACACATGTTAAGAATCAACAGGAGGAGGTTCGCGTCCAGGATTCGTGCCATCACCACAGGTTGCAAAATAAACCCAAATTCCCAGCTAAGCGGCCTACTGCAGGAAAAGTAAACATCAAGCTGCAGTGAAAGAAATTGGTGGAGAAACTATTTTTACTTTGATATTGTGGGTGTATTTCAGAAACCTTTCGAAAAAAATAGTGGTAGCACTTTATTTTGATGGTGCTGAAAAACAATATGTTACTTGCAACTCACAACTTGGTATTAGACTGTTTTTTTAAGAGCTGAAGTTTGTAGAATAAGAGTATGATTACATTAGAATGTGTTAAAAAGGGAAATAGTTTTGTGTATACGCAACATAATAATAATAATTCCTTAAATTTAAATTACTCTTTTCTGGACACTCAAAGTGCTTTACACATTTTTGGGGGAATCTCTTCATCCACCTCCATTGTGTGACCTGGATGATGCAACAGCAGTCATATTGCACACCAGCTGATTAGTGAAAAGGAGACAGAGTTATGATATGGGGATGGTTAGTAGGCCATGATGGACGGAGGCCAGTGGGCTAATTTGGCTAGGATGCTGGGGTTAACCCCTACTTCCGAAAGACATCCTGGGATTTTTAATGACCACAGAGAGTCACTGAGCAGTACCCATCAATATACTGGGGCGTTAGAAGCCACAAAGACGGCAGGTTGAGTGCTCCTTGCTCGTCTAACATCACTTTTGGAAGCAACCTAGATTTCCTATGTGGTCTCTTATACAGGTACTGACCACGGACATCCCTGCTTAGCTTCAGTGGGTGACCATGTGATAGTGGCAGAGAGCTGGCTGCCAGCAATCATTCAAATTGTTCCTTGTTCACATAAATCTAAAAATTATTTTAAAAAAGCTACTAAAACTATATGCCTGGACATAGGGATCTAAAGTCCACCGTTTTGGTTGTCAGATATACATGGATACCTATAGATAATATAGACGGTTTCTTTTTTAACTCCCGAAACAGCTGCTGTTGTGTAAATGCATAACAACGTTATGCAGGCAAAACGTGCCTAAACTTAAAGGTTCCACAAAATGAAAATCTGGATACCAAGGAAAGGTAGAATACTATGAGTTCAGTACATGGAAATGGTCATACTGTGAGTCTCAAACACCATTCTCATGTTATTTATTTTTTCAGTATTTATTTATCAGGCTATTTCAAAGAATAAAAAAAAACAGGGAACTGATGTGAGCATCGGTTTATTTAATTTATTTTTTCATTCATTTATTTATTAATTTATATTTACAACCCTGAATCAGAAAAAGTTGTGACAGTATGAAAAACCAAACAAAAAAATATATAAAAAAGATATTTGCAAATTTACTTTGACTTGTGTTTCATTGTAAATAACATGCACAAAATGTTTCACAGTTTGTCTGGTCAACTTCATTTCATTTGTAAATAAACATCCTTTCCTGTCATTCAGACCAGCAACACATTCCAAAAAAAAGTTGGGACAGGAGCAGTTTAGGGCTAGTAATCAGGTAAATTTGTTCAATAATGATGTGATCTGAAACAGGGGATGTCAACAGGTGACTGTAATTATGGTTTGGTACAAAAGCAGCATCCAAGAAAAGTCTAAGCTGCGTCCCAAATGGCACACTATACACTCATGCACTATGTACTTATGCACTTACACACTCAACAGGGTAGTATATGTATGTAATGTTGTCCCAAATGGCACACTAATGTTTTTTTTTTTACTAAGCTGAAATTCAAACCGTTTCCCTAATGACGTTTGACAGTTGCCAAATCATTGAAGTAAACGACCGAATTATCAAATAATACCTGCCGTGAGTGTTGCCGCAATCACCATCGGGAGGCGCTATAATCACTCTCGTAGAAGAATTTTACTTTCACCATCCAAAATATATAAAGTTATTCAACATGTGTGTCCGATAGCTCTGCCCCTTCCGCTATGTAAGCAAACCTGCGGTCGTTGAGTGCGTGAAGTGTTCATCGTTACACACTTCATTTTACCGGCTGAATGAGTGCATCATCTGGGTAATTAAAGTGCACTTATTATTTTTAGAGTTTTCAGTGTGAACGCACTACTTACACTATTTATACTACAAAATGGCGTAGAATGGTGCATAAGTATGCGATTTGGGAAGCAGCTACAGTCTTTTAGGAGCAAAGATGGGCCTAGGATCACCCCTTTTCGCCCAAATACGTGATACAAATACGTGAGAAAATTATTGAAAAGTTTTAAAACAATTTGCCGCAAAAAAAAAAAAAACAATAGGAAGACATTGGGATATTTTACCTTTAATAGTGCATAACATAACTAAAAGGTTCAAGAAATCTGGAGGAACTTCAATGCGTAAAGGACAAGGGCACAAGTCTAAGCTAAACAACAGTGATCTCAGATGCCTCAGGATCCCTCAGCATTAAGAATCGTCATTCAGCGATATCACCACATGGGCTTAGGACTACTGCGGCAAACCAAGTACTACGTATTAAATACAATCATACTTGGTTACATCCCCAAATGTCAGTGAAAACTATCCTGTGCCAAAAGGAAGCCCTATGTTAACAGTGTCCAGATGTGCCGTCGACTTCTCTGGCTCTGACACATCTGGAATGGACCATCATACAGTCCAAATGTGCACTGTGGTCTGATGAATCAGTATTTTTTTTATTTTTCATTTTTTTGGAACAAATGGACGCTGTGTGCTCCGGACCAAAGTCCAAAAGCCAATGTCTATCATGGTATGGGGTTGTGCCAATGCCCTTTGCAAAGGTAACTTGCAAACATGGCACCATTAATGCTAAAAAGTACGTAAAGATTTTGGAGCACAATACAATGCCTTCTATTCCAGTAACTCCAAAATATGTTGTTTTTTTTAATAATAACAATAAATCATGAGGAACACATTAAATAATGTGATATTGTATTGTCTGCAATGAAATACAAGTCAAGGTATATTTAGAAATTACTTTTTTTTTATTTGCGTTCACACTTTTTCTGATATGGGGTTGTATTTTATATCTTGATGTTACTTTTCTTTCCATTTATTTTTTTTTTTGGACTGTAAGTGAACAACACTAGCTAGTGTTGACACTATGTGGACACAAATCAAATTCCCAAGTATATTATGGTTTTAAAATATACACTAGGGTGTCTATTCCACCAAGACAAACTACTACTAAGTTATCGGTGGTGGCTGCTGCTACTTTTATTACTGCTACTACTACTATTATTATTACTACTACTAAGTCCACAAATACAACAAACACCTTTTTGAAAGAAAAAACTTGTGAAGGAAGGAAGCCTAATAATATAATAAGTCCCTTTATTATTCAGAGGTTGTTACAGCGGAATGAACTGCCAACTTATCCAGAATATGTTCTACGCAGCAGATGCCCTCCTAGCTGCAACCCAGCACAGGGAAACACTCATACACTCTTGCATTCAAACACATACACTATGGCCAATTTAGCTTTGGACTGTGGGAAAAATCAGAGCACCCGGAGAAAACCCACAAGAACACAGGGAGAAAATGCAAACTCCACAAAGAAACCCCAACTGACCCAGCCAAGGATCGAAGCAGCGACCTTCTAGCAGTGAGGCGATTGTGTTACTCACTCTGCCACCAGGCTTCCCGCCGCCCCTTTATATAATACATAATAAATACAAATCTTGTGATTACTTTACATATAAAAACTGAAGTACTGCTTGCTTTAAGTTTAATCACGACGAATGCTTTAAAAAAAATATTCAAATCTTGAAGTTTCAGACGGTATCTGTGCATATCATTTTGTTTCGTGTGCAGGCAGCTGGTATTTGGATGCTAGAAGACAAGCCACAGAAGGAGGGATGAGAGGAATTTGCTCTTCATTGTCCAACTTTTCTCTCTGGCCCCACCAACATCCTGGGTCTTTTCCATAGTCTCTGCGTAAACAGAAGCACAGAGCTACAGTGGCAGGATGCTGTTCCTTTACGGTTTATTTCACTTTCTCAGACCCTGCTTGTTTTACAGTGACCGCTGACAGCTGGCCTTCTGCTAATAAAAGCCGCTCTATCCAGCCATTTATTTATGACAGGCACTTCCCACATGAGAAATGGGAGAACGTGCCACCTGAGTGCCTAGTGATGTGGGTGACGCTCGTGGAAACGCTTGACAATGTGAGACAGATTTGGGAGAGGAACAGGAAAATGATGAAGCGGAGAAGATACAGAAGAGGGGATGAATAGTGTTGCAGATCAGCGTTACCTTTCCAGATGAGAGGGTAGATGGACAGCAGTCTCCTCCATCATATTGGCAATACGCTCGGTTGTTAATGGTGTCACACCAACCGTCTCCACCAAATGGCTGCAGGGAAAAAAGTGAAACTAATTTAAATCTTATTTCAAGCGCTCACACTTAGATATTGCTTGATACTAATTGCAGGTTTGGCATGCTGTCCCCGGAGAGAACCCTGAGCTCAGAGATAATTGAGCCCAGGGCTCCCTCCTGGTCGTTTAGCATCACAGGGGGTCTGAGATCAGGTAAACTTCCATCTGGTAAATAAGGAAAAGGGAGAAATGAGGGGGACTGGATAATTCTTTAAAAAACGAAGATAAGGAAAGGAAGGTGAAATGGGCTCAAAATGAATTTAGAAAACTTCACATAAACACGTTTGGTTGAGTATTAAAGAATGACAAATTTCTCATATTGTTTACATTTTTGTTAACACTAATCTGCAGCACTTACTGTATGCAAAGATGTAAACTGTGAAACTGCAAAAAAAATAAATAAAAAGGTTTAATTTCTAATATTAGTTAAAGGGCTGGTTCACCCAAAAACTGTCAAAATTTCCTCACGCTTCTTGTCTTTTTGCTGTTGAACAAGAAAGATATTTCAAAAAACCATTGACTAGTATTTCATTCATTCATTTTCTTTTCAGCTAAATCCCTTTATTAACCTGTGGTCACCACAGTGGAATGAACCGCCAACTTATCCAGAATATGTTTTATGCAGCAGATGCCCTTCCAGCAGCAACCCATCACTGGAAAACATCCATACACAATCATTTTCTCACACACACACACACACACACAACGGACAATTTAGCCTACCCAATTCACCTGTACCGCAGGTCTTTGGACTTGTGGGGCAAACCGGAGCGCTCGAAGAAAACCCACGCGAACACGGGGAGAACATGCAAACTCCACACAGAAAATGCCAACTGACCCAGCCAAGGCTCGAACCAGCGACCTTCTTGCTGTGAGGCGAACGTGCTACCCACTGCACCACTGTGTCGCCTGACTAGTATTTGTTTTTCTTAATATGAAAGTAAATGTTTAGAGTATCTGTTAAACTATTTTGATGGCTTAATAGTTTTTTTTTTTTATTTTGTTACTAAGCATATTTTTATTTCAAATAAATTTATATAACCAAATACATTTTTTGTCATAAAATAAAAATTATATATTGAAGACAACACTATTAGCATACCAGTGAAATGTTCTTTATTTTTCAATTATTGCTATGTAATAGAGCAATTGCATTTTCATATATATATATATATATATATATATATATATATATATATATATATATATATATATATATATATATATATATATATATATTGGATATATGGTATACTATATGAGACTTACAGCATATACAGCAAACATCCCAATCTGAACTAGTAAATGTTCTCTTAAAGCCTTTTAAAGGTTCATGCATGAGTTACTTCATTTTACTATACACACTTAACAGTTTTCTCTGAACAGGAGGCCTTGCGAATTCCTTGAATGTCAGAGGAAAGAAATGTGTAAATCCCGCCAAAGGGATTTCTGATCTCGTTTTTGGTAGGTGGCATTTCTCATTTACTCCTTTTATATAAAATGAAACCACATCTGTTATTCCAGACTTCCTTCAACGTCATTACTTCACCTGTGTGAGCGAATGGCTGCCCGTTTTGCAAGGCCCAGGTGTATAAAGTCCAACCATCTTACGGACCACAATTATCAAATTTACCATGCATAAACACTTTAAATGTGTCATAATGCCTTCCTAAAGGATTTCGCTAACCTAAACGATCGAATGCCAGTAACAGGAAAACAAGAGCGCTCTGCCAAAGATAATTTTGGCTCTGTTGCGAATGTGGAGTCCTTTCAAAGAGTCCAGAGTCTACCTGATTCCCTGCGCAAGACCAGCTGGCTGGGAGATTTTGCTAGAATTTATCCCTGCTAAACCTACACCCAATCCAAAAGGTTTTTTTTTTTTTTTTCCTGCCGCGCTCTCATTCTCCAAGTCATAAGCAATATCATTTTTCATTCTTCAGTTTCAAGCTTGTGTATATTTCATTTGTTTCTTTATACTCGCTCTCCATCCATTTTATTGCGTTGTGCATTTATTGGCAATAACAATTTTAAACCAATCTCAGCATCTAATGCTTAAATGAACATGCTACATATATTCAAAATCTAAAACACGTGCATTATTAATGTTGTTTTAGAAAGGGCTGGAAAAAGAGAAATGACCTAATGGCTAAATTAAAGAGTCGTGTTAACAGTAAATGAGAGGGATGTGTGGAATGCAGAAGCTCTTGCCAGCTGAGGAAAAACTGCCAATGAATTTTAAACAACACTAAGTCAAGCATCCTGCAGCACTACGCAAAATCATCTGACTCGGACCTCATGTACTTTTGGCGCATGACAAAACAATAGTCAGGAAAAGGCAATATAGCGACCACCACATATATTCTGATGAACATAACAGACGACAATCTTATGGAAATCCCGTCTGCCTAATCATTTGAGTCTCTTTTTTTATTAAGTGTGCTACACTAGTGTCAAAAACTGTTGTAAAACAAGGCTCCTCAGCTTACCAATGATCCATGTATTTGATTAAAAACATACAATAAAAAAAATATATAGGCCCTTTTGACATTTCCGGGTTTGTCAGTAGCAGAAAGCGTCATATTTGGGTAAACTTAGAGCTCAGTGAATCAGGGATTACAACAATCTTTTTTTTTTTTTATCCTATTTGCTGAAATAATAATAGAAAAATGTAAAGATAGTAATGATCAAGACTTTCAGAAAAAGGAAAAAAATTGTGTGAGACTAATGATGACGGCAAGCAGAAGAACTCATGTCAAATTTACTCTCAGCCCCATAGACGCTGCATTAGAAACACCTCACATAAGCGGTCATTTGTTTTTTTGTAATTTGACGCAAAGATGATAAAATACATTCATAAACGCATATAAATGTTCATATTTAAAAAGAAACAATCAATCATAGTCTTGTGAAAGGGGTACATTAATATATATATATATATATATATATATATATATATATATATATATATATATATATATATATAAAATTATGTTTTCCTATGTGAATTTAATGCAAAACAAATTTTTTCTTTATCCTGTGATGATTTAAAGCTGTAGTTTCAGCATAATTTTACTTTCCAAAATTCTTTAATGAACAAAGTTTAAAATAACATTTATTATGAAACACGTTTTTGTAATATTGCAAATATTTTATATAATAGGGAACCTCAGATAGTTCGGCCGAAGATCACTATTGGCCAATAATCCCATTTCATGACTCGATCGGTACTCGCTGATCAAGCCGATCTCATGAACTGATTCCAAGTGTTTGTTTGAATTTATAAGCTGAGAAAGATGCACGTGCGCACCTGGGTTATATCAAAGAGCTTAGAATCGCCAGGAGGCGGCACTCAATAGAACGTTCCATTGCAATAGCAGCGCCCAGCAACAGCCTGCGATTCCGCCATTTTGGAGTGAAAGCAATCGCCCGTCCATTGCATCTTATGGCTGTCGTGATGGCAATCAGCTGCTTTGTTTTTTATTTATTTATTTTAAAAACGCATTAAAGCTGAGTTAGAACCTGAAAGACGACAATACAACACTATCACATTAATCAGCACTTTTAATAGTTTATTTTACAGACTTCAAATATGCTGTTGTTCTATTTAAGTTTTCATTCCAAAATGGCCACCGCATGACACTAGCAGCATCTACTAGCTGTTTCACAAATCACACTAGAGTGTCGCGTCTTGATGGTTCTATGCTCTTTGGTTATATATGAAGCAGCTACAACATGGAGAAGGGAAATGACGTGTGGAGGCTTGAGTAATTGTTGCGCTCACATTACAGCAGTTAAAATGCATGCAGATGCGATGTGACATCTGTTTATACAGTTTATTGGCATGACTCGTGCGAGTGATGGTCTTTTTTGCAGCCATTATATATCCAGTGTTTTGAGCTGCTATGATAAAAGCAGAGAGATTGCTCCTATCTGTCTCATCAAAGCATATGACCTCTCCAGGAAGCTTGTTTTTGACAACATTGCAAGTTCACTAAAATCTGACTGGATAGTAGATAAATTTTAAAAAAATGATATTTTTAACATTAATATATTCTTGTAATTTACTGAGATAAACAGTAGTCTATAGACCTATTTTCTTTTAATATAGAAGTAATGGATTTATGAGTGTGCATTTTAACTTCTTATGCATCAAGTATGCGCTCCAAACTTTTTCTTGATTGAGACATGTTGAATTCTTCATCATTTGCAAAGTTTACAATTTGCACTGTTTTTATCTGTGCTATCTATTTTTTGTAAAGCTGCTTCTGGCCATGACATGTATCATACTCAAAGGGAAAATGTGCTTTATGCATTCTAAAGCTTGGAGCATCAGAATCAGTACTCAGTATCGGCTAATCACCATGACAAGAAATTAATACTAGGTATCGGCTGCAAAAATCCTGAGCGGAGCATCCCTAGTATATAATATTTAATGTATTATATACATAATATACTCTCACTAATCATAATAATGTGTCCTTGAAGGTACTTTTGAATGTTAATATTTCACAGTTTTCGCAAAAATATGAAGCACAACTATTGTTTTCAATGTCGATAATAAAAAGAAATGATTACTGAGCACCAAACCAACATATTACTATTTCTGAATGATCATGTGACACTGAAAATTAAAGAATTTACCATTAATCACACTAATAAATTACATTTAATTACATTTCACAGTATTACTGTTTTTATTAAGAAAGTATCCTTTTTGCATTCCTAATCTGGTGGAGTTTTTTTTTCCTCGCCACTGGCTTGCATGGTTCGGGACCTGAAAAGCTGCGCATCGATGCATTTGCTCTTCAGTGTTTGGACTCTCAGTAGTGATTATTAAACCACACTGAACTAAGCTAAACTGAACTAAACTTAAACACTGAAAACTGGACTGACACTGTTTCAATTCACTATAATCTTCTATGTGAAGCTGCTTTGACAAAATCTTCATTGTAAAAGCGCTATACAAATAAAGGGGAA